CTGGATCAGTGGAAATACGTTCTCTGGAGTGATGAATCACGCTTCACGATCTGTCAGTCCGACGGACTAATCTATGTTTGGCGGATGCCAGGAGAACCCTACCTGCCCAAATGCATAGTGCCAACTGTAAAGTTTGGTGGAGGAGGAATAATGTTCTGGGGCTGTTTATCATGGTTCAGGCTAGGCCCCTTAGTTCCAGTGAAGGGTAATGTTAACGCTACAGCATACAATGTCATTCTAGACGATTCTGTGCTTCCGACTTTGTGGTAACAGTTTGGGGAAGGCCCTTTCCAGTTTCAGCATGAAAATGCCCCCATGCACAAAGCGAGGTCCATACAGAAATGGTTTGTCGAGATCGGTGTGGAAGAACTTGACTGGCCTGCACAGGGCGCTGACCTCAAACCTATCGAACACCTTTGAAATGAATTGGAGCGCCGACTGCGAGCCAGGCCTAATCGCCCAACATCAGTGCCCGACCTCACTAATGCTCTTGTGGCTGAATGGAAGCAAGTCCTCCTGTAGCTCAGTTGGTAGAGCATGGCGCTTGCAATGCCAGGGTTGTGGGTTCGATTCCCACGGGGGGCCAGTATGAAAAATGTATGCACTCACTCTGTAAGTTGCTCTGGATAATAGCGTCTGCTAAATGACAAAAATGTAAGTCCCTGCAGCAATGTTCCAACATTTAGTGGAAAACCTTCCCAGAAGAGTGGAGGCTGTTATAGCAGCAAAGGGGGGACCAACTCCATATTAATGCCCATGATTTTGGAATGAGATGTTCGACGAGCAGGTGTCCACATAGTTTTGGTCATGTAGTGTATCTTGTATCCTATATTCATTACCAAAACGGCCTTGCTGTAGGGCGCTGTCCATTTTGCTGATACAGTTCAGCAGAGATAGGCTACAGATTTCAAAATCACTCAATGATCTTGGTGTCTCGTCATTTGAACTGTATGTTTATTGTGGTATAGCGTGATTATATAAGCAGAATTCTATATAATTCCAATGCAAGAACTGCCAAAAATGTAGCCCTCTCGCTGATTTCAGCTGCCCGCTTAGTCACGTTATCCTGACACCGGGACTTATGAATGATCTTATTATTACATACTTTAAAAGTTGTTTATAAATGTGTGAATAAATAACTTACTAACATTTACAAATGTGGGAGTAATGATTAATACATGACGATTTAACTATTTACTCATCCATTATAAATGCTTTATTACAAGGTGTTATTATAAAGTGCTACCTATGCACATGAATTGTAAACTTGCCAATGACATATGTGTGACCATGTCATTATTATCACCATGTCAGATGTTACTATGGTATACTGAAGTATAATTACAAGCATTCCATAAGTGTCAAAGGCTTTTATTGACAATTACATTACGTTTATGCAAAGAGTCAATATTTGCAGTGTTGACCGTTCTTTTTCAAGACCTCTTCAATCCGCCCTGGCATGCTGTCAATTAACTTCTGGGCCACATCCTGACTGATGGCAGCCCATTCTTGCATAATCAATGCTTGGAGTTTGTCAGAATTTGTGGGTTTTTGTTTGTCCACCCGCCTCTTGAGGATTGACCACAAATTCTCAATGGGATTAAGGTCTGGGGAGTTTCCTGGCCATGGACCCAAGATTTCGATGTTTTGTTCCCCAAGCCACTTAGTTATCACTTTTGCATTATGGCAAGGTGCTCCATCATGCTGGAAATGGCATTGTTCGTCACCAAACTGTTCTTGGATGGTTGGGAGAAGTTGCTCTCGGAGGATGTGTTGGTACCATTCTTTATTCATGGCTTTGTTCTTAGGCAAAATTGTGAGTGAGCCCACTCCCTTGGCTGAGAAGCAACCCCACACATGAATGGTCTCAGGATGCTTTACTGTTGGCATGACAAATGACTGATGGTAGCGCTCACCTTGTCTTTTCCAGACAAGCTTTTTTCCAGATGCCCCAAACAATCGGAAAGGGGATTCATCAGAGAAAATGACTTTACCCCAGTCCTCAGCATTCCAATCCCTGTACCTTTTGCAGAATATCAGTCTGTCCCTGATGTTTTTCCTGGAGAGAAGTGCCTTCCTCGCTGCCCTTCTTGACACCAGGCCATCCTCCAAAAGTCTTCGCCTCACAGTGCGAGCAGATGCACTCACACCTGCCTGCTGCCATTCCTGAGCAAGCTCTGCACTGGTGGTGCCCTGATCCTGCAGCTGAATCAATTTTAGGAGACGGTCCTGGCGCTTGCTGGACTTTCTTGGGCGCCCTGAAGCCTTCTTCACAACAATTGAACCTCTCTCTTTGAAGTTCTTGATGATCCGATAAATGGTTGATTTAGGTGCAATCTTATTAGCAGCAATATCCTTGCCTGTGAAGCCCTTTTTTGTGCAAAGCAATGATGACGGCACGTGTTTCCTTGCAGGTAAACTATGGTTAACAGAGGAAGAACAATGATTTCAAGCACCACCCTCCTTTTAAAGCTTCCAGTCTGTTATTCTAACTCAATCAGCATGACAGAGTGATCTCCAGCCTTGTCCTCGTCAACACTCTCACCTGTGTTAACGAGAGAATCACTGACATGATGTCAGCTGGTCCTTTTGTGGCAGGGCTGAAGTGCAGTGGACATGTTTTTGGGGGATTAAGTTCATTTTCATGGCAAAGAGGGACTTTGCAATTAATTGCAATTCATCTGAACACTCTTCATACCATTCTGGAGTATATGCAAATTGCCATCATAAAAACTGAGGTAGCAGACTTTGTGAAAATTAATATTTGTGTCATTCTCAAAACGTTTGACCACGACTGTACAGTTCATAGCTAACTTTACATTGATGGTCTTCTGAACTTCCCAATACCTTTCTGATAGATTTTATTCACTTCAAACCATACTTCCTTCAGATGTCAGACTGATTTGTAATAGACTGTCATAGCCCCAGTTTTTTTTAAATTTCAAAATGGGGTTGCGGGCCAAAAACATTTGGAAACCCCTGCATTCCATCAAGACAGGTCTACAGGACTAGTGTACTGCCAAATGTAAAAGCACCCTACTCTCATCAACAAACTAAACAACAACAAAGTTGCATGCAGGTCTTCGGATCTTTCCCATTGCGGTCATATGTTTAATATCTATGGGTTCTCCTCTCCCAGTATCTCCCTCTGAGCGACACACATGCACGCACACACACACACACACACACACACACACACACACACACACACACACACCGCTGTGAGACGAGTGGCGGGAAGGCCGGTAATGATGGCACCACATTTTGGGCTCCCTCAGACAAGGGGACCCGACCGACCCCCTCAGTGCCCCGTAGAGACTTGCCTGTTCAATAATACCCGGCTCGGTGCTTGAGGTCCTCCCGACACCCAAACACCAGAATACTGGATGTTTTCTTGAAGCCAATTTGAGCTGGTTGCTGTCAGAGAACCACATCCAGCCAGTCTTATTCACAGTATCAGTAAAAGGGGGGTAATACACAGCAGCTGGGGCCACACATCCGATCATCTGTGACAGGGCTTGCCAGAGAAGAGGGAGAGAGAGAGAGAGAGAGAGAGAGGAGAAAGAGGAGAAAGTCCTCTGCAAAGCTGTACACTCAACACTTACTGTGTTCTGGACATTTCAGAAGCTTATAATAATAATATGCCATTTAGCAGACGCTTTTATCCAATGCAACTTACAGTCATGCGTGCATACATTTTTGTGTATGGGTGGTCCCGGGGATCAAACCCACTACCTTGGCGTTACAAGCGCCGTGCTCTACCAGTTGAGCTACAGAGGACCACAACTGACAATGACCAGGCACAATTCATTATGTTCTTTATTCCCAATAGCTTTCTGTATTAGGATATTATGGATATGACTATTATTTATAAATTGTTACCTCTTCCTTCCAATCACACACTGTACAGTAATGAGACACGCAAATAATGGCCTTCCCAGGGATCACCCTACAGTGTAACTCTGTGCTCTTTACATACGACATGGACATGTTAGCCATCACATTAATAAAAATAGCCCTAAAGCATGAAGGACGGTCATAATGTCCTGTATCGCCCTCTCGACAGGATACAGTATATATATATGTCATGCACAGAGCTACCACTGTAAACACACAGTGGAAGAACAATCAGACCAACAGCAGCCAAATCTTGACTGAGCCTCAGTGGTAGACTGCAGCCAGGACAGGTAAGCCAGTTTGGATCCAGGCATTGATATGCGGATATGTATACTGGAATGGGGTATAGGGACTAGTTGTTTGATTTTGACTGGCAGTCATGTGGGAAGTGATTAGGTTATTATATTACTGTTTATTGCATGGGAAATGTAATGTCATATTTATATTTTCTGCATTAACTAAATTGATAACTATAGGCTCTGTGCTCCAGTGTAGTATCGCGTCAATGCTGGTAATTATTGCTGTCAAACAAAGAGTCCGCTTAGGCTGTACTTTGATTATACGTTTTATTTATATCACAAGATGTCAGCATAAGTTTACAGACCCTGCAGGGCTGGAGAACAGTGTCCAAAGATAATCTGTCTGTTCTAACCCCTTCTTTGTCTAGCCTATACTTATAAGATATGCAAAAATATGGGTTGCTCCCTCTGCTGTCCAATCACCTGTCTCCCCTGGGGCGTCACCCTAAAAACGGCTCTTTTGGAACTAAAATAAACATCCCCCCCAGGTTCCACTAGAATAGTCATAATCTTAATACACTACACCAGGTAAATGGATGACGATAGTTATGCTTCAAAACAACTTTGGGGAAATAATCTGAGTGAGCATGTACAATCTTAAATAGGGAGCTAAAACAGTACTGTAACTAAATTGTGAAAAAGTGGTCTTTTTTTAAAAGTGTTAATTGAACAGCTGTTGTTGCTGTACCACAAATAGCAGCAGTAGACATGCCGGAGTGTGACTTTACACTTGCATGCCAGTGTCTGCACAATACTGACATGTTCCATCCATGTCATGTGTTTTTTCTGTCAGGAGGTGGCATCATGTCACACAGGGACAATGAAGATACCGTGTATGACAACAACGACCTCCGAGACAGATGGGAGAACAGAGCCAGGAAGTTCAGTGATATGGAACAACAAGAGCAGCGGAGGCAGGAAAAGAGTGCACTGAATGGGTAAGATGTAATCTGAATTTAAAAAGACTAACATGCACCAACAAATATAGACCTACTATATGAACAAACATTTACATTTACATTTTAGTCATTTAGCAGACGCTCTTATCCAGAGCGACAAACAAAGACACACACACACACACACACACAATATGGTGACCTTTGAAGTGATCAACCATAATTTACAGTATTCTAAATAAATGTTCAGAACCTCTCTGATTTCTCATAAAAAGAGTGAAAGAAATGAAAAAAATGAAAGAAAAATTGTGAATTTCTGACTTCCTCCTATCCCTCAGCATCTTATAATCAAACGGCTATGAGAGTTTTTTCTACAAAGGAATCCTGTTTTTCTAAGAAGGGCTGCAAAGTGAGGAGCTTTGGGGGTGTAGATGGCTGATTTAGATGGAGGCCACAGGTATCTATTTGTGAGGGTTTTTTATGTGCTCTTGATGGCTTGTCACACCGCAGAGCACAGGTCTACAATTCCAGTAGGGTCCCTTCTGATGACTACACTGTGAGAGGGGAGCGGTGGTTGTGGGTCTGTTTGATGCATGCACTCTCTCTCATTTCCCTCGAAAACTTTGAGAAGATTATTTTTCATCTCTTCATACAGCAACATATTACCTCCTGATGTAATTGTTCTGATCTTCTATTCAGAGTGCTCTTGATTTTCTGGGAGATTCCTTTCCCTCTCATGAGTTCATTTAAGGGCTGGCATTCAATTGTAACCCAGTGCTTTTCTTTCTTCAAATCACACCTATTGCTAGGTTGCACCTCTGTCACTCGGTCGCATCATGCCATTGTTATGAATGTTCTCAAGCCGCCCTCTACTGGCGGCGCCATAGTGGTGCCCTAAAGTGGTGATAAGCACAGTCATTCTGGACGGAGGCTAACTACTGTTTAGTCTAAATTACACTATAGTTTCTGGAAATACGATGACAAATATTTAGTAGGAAACAACTTTGCCATCATTATCATGTCGTAAAAATACTTTAGACAGATGGCAATGTTGTCATTAGCTAGCACAGTTAACGTTAGCTAACGTTAGCTAAAATCCGGTGGCCTCCTCTCAATCTTAGCTAGCTAGCTAATGTTATACTGCATCTAAAGTCAATCTGGAGACATCAAAATTAGGTTTTCCTACTAATTATTTGCCTCCTTTTGAATGTCATTGTATTTCCAAGCCACTGTAATGCACTTTTGATGAAATCTTCATCAGCGCTCATTGATGATGCACTGAGTAGAATGCTCAGTCAGGCAACAGTCCAAAACTAACATGAACCCATGAATAGTAAAAAATCCATGTGCGATTCAAATAAAAATAAAAATTCTAACTTGCCATTGTCTTGTGTGCTCCATAGGCTTTTTCAAGAGTGGAATTATTGCTTGGCAGTCAGAAATGGCACGGCAACGGACAACAAACCGAAGGACAGACCTGGGTGACTGATGACATTGATATCGATGAGAATAGCATTTGGAGGAGAAGTTTAAGGTGCAAGCTATACCAAGGGTTGTTAAAGTTGCCAGGCCCAAAACCCCTCCACCTGTCAAGAAACATGGACCAGCTGGCAGAAAATGAGCCCACACCACCCAAGTCAGCTCCAAAACCAGGGCCAAAACAAGAGAAGCCCAAGAATGGACCCACTCAGCAGCCCCAAGCCAGCAAACTATCACCTCCTCAGCCACCCAAATACAATCTCTCCCAGGCAGGTTGGAATGAGTCATGGAAGAGCCTGAAGCCCACATACCAAGGTGGGGTAGGGTCACAGCAAGCAGCCACTGAACACAACAAACCTCAAGATAGAAAGTCGATGTTATACAGCTTTGACACAGAATGGAATGAGTCCTGGAAGTATCTGAATAATATGTTCCAGCATGAAGGCCAATCTGAGGAGAAATGGTGGAGGGCTTTTAAAGACAAAGCTCTCATTGAATGGGCAGTCCTTCAAGACTCTGAAGCCGCAACCAGAGGCGTGGGAGCAGGAATGGCCCATGTACAGTCATGAACCAAGTAACAAACTACTGAAGACTAAGCCTTTGGATGATAAAGTCAACCTTCCAGGGTGGAAGGATGCTAGGAAGACTTCAACGCCTTTACCCAAGCAGCACACTGAGAACAAGACGATTACAGAAAGAGTACATCCCGAAGCCTTCTTGCCAGGTTGGACAGAATCTTGGAAGGTCCCAGGTGAGAATGTCCATAACAGTGGTCGATGTCTGAAGGATTGGCGTGAGTCCTGGAGTTTGTGCCAAGAACACCACTGCAGCAAGACCTTTATGGACTCCCAGTATCACCATCATGCTATGATGATGTCAAAGCGCATGCTGTCCAATGAGCTGCTGAGCTCCAAGCTTGATGAGGAGATCCAATCTTTATCAGAGTGGATTATTTTTTGGGTCCTGTGCAGTTGTAAACAAGGCAACAGTAAACATGTCATCCCCCACAAATGATGCAGTGCGCAGTCAACGGGTCTGAATACTTTCAGAATGCACTGTATACCGCAACTGTTAATGTTATGTTTTAAGCACATCTAGCAACATTAGCATCTGGTTTTTGAGTTGGAGGATGATCAGTATGGCAAAATAATAAATCAAAATCAATCAAATCAACAAGTATACAAGTTACTTCAGGTCTATTTTCTATGTTAATTCAAAGCTTAAAAATGCATATATATATATATATATATATATATATATATATATATATATATATATATATATATATATATATATATATATATATGAAAGTTTTTCTCAAATTTGCACACAGTGTTCACCTTTTGACATTTTTCTGTTCCCTGCAATCATTACGTAACAAATCTGCTGTTACAGGGAGCCACATGACAAAACCGTTTACATATCATGTGTCGTGACAGCGTTTTAACTACTTTGCAGATTTGAAACAAACAGACAATGATCAGTCAAAAATATCAAATTTCCAGTTTATGCTTCAAAACCAACTTCAAGAGGTTTTAAAAATAGGTTCTATTTTATTAAAAATTCCATGACGTACAGTAAGGTATTGTTGGAAGAATAGATGGATGCAGTTCAATGCATAATTAATATAATTCACAAATACATTTCTTGGTAGTCCAAAAAATATTGCTATCAGGTTGTAAATCACAGCTGACCTGGTACATTGTTTAATGCCTCCACCCATTCGGGATGCACTGTTTCAGTTTCAATGACTCAATATTTTGAACAAAAACGGACGACTGTAACTAGGACTGGGAATGTCAATACAATTACATTTACGTCATTTAGCAGACACTCTTATCAGAGCGACTTACAAATTGGTGCATTCACCTTATAGCCATTGCGGGGGGGGGGGGGGGGGGGGGGGGGGGGGGGGGGGGGTAAGGGGGGGGGTAAAAGGATTACTTTATCCTATCCCAGGTATTCAATCAAACTAGCAAGGGCAATGATCACAAGTCAATCATAACGTGGCTAATAGACTAGCGCACAAGTGTCAAACACAAGGCCCGCGGGCCGAATAGGACACACAAGTGAGTATAAATGAGTCAACAGTTGAGTCATCTACTTTATGAAATTATAGCCTGATGCGCTTGCATCTGTGAATTTAACTTCAATTGCGATGCTTTCCTGTGTCCCGTTTACAGCGCACAGCAGAGGGAAAGTGTACAGACACATGCCACAGTCCTAGCTAGGCTACTAAAATGTTGCAGTCTGGCTTCGGTTTTTAAAGCTTGACAATGAATAACCAAAAAACTAAACCTGCAACAAAACACCATGCAAAGGAGAAAGATGTAGGCCTCTTACAGCAACATTTGAGCAGTAGCCTAGGCTGGCTACTCAACAACAACTACTACTACTTTACAGTTAGTATATCTCTTAGTTGTCAATCAAATGTATTTGGCATCGATCAAATGGGTGGGTGGGTGGTCGGGCAGGCAACTTCCCATTCAGTTGTCAAACCGTGGATTGGGACAAGCAGGCATTGGCACGCAAGCTGCAGAAGGATGAGCACTCTACTATTCCCCATCGTTTATCAGTGCAATTTTGACTGCCAACTAGCTGAAAAAGTTTGAGAGGGTTCATCTAAAGTTCCCTCGTTAGATTTTAGCTCATCTCGCGTTAGTTGTTGATCTTGTTGTTGTTGATGTGCATAGGCAACTGAGGGAGAGAGAGCCTACCTTTTCATGGTTGTTTGATCAATAAGATTGTGAAGTTCCCAAATGTAAGAGGACTCCCGTGGTATTTACATATTTGCAGAAATCCATTCAGGTGTATTATGTGATTTTGGCGAATGCGTTCTAATGATCTAAGGTCGCGCTGTTGCTACTGCCTGTAAACACACAGTCCAGTTCAAAGTGAATGATGGCAGGCCCGTTTGGCAAATGGCTTATTTGCATGTAGGCCTACTGCAGCTCTGATTGGCAATTTTTATTTTTATATTTTAATTTCACCTTTATTTAACCAGGTAAGCCAGTTGAGAATAAGTTCTCATTTACAACTGCCACCTGGCCAAGATAAAGCAAAGCAGTGCGATAAAAACAACAACACAGAGTTACATATGGGGTAAAACAAAACATAGTAAAAAATACCACAGACCGGCTATGGTGCACAGGTCTGCGTAGACTCCAGTCCTGGACAGGACAGATGTTTTTATTAGGTTATATTTACTGCAGTGTCTATTAATTGTCCAAATGCACAGCCGTTTTCCCACTCTATATTGCTATAGAATTTTCCAAAATGTCTTACTATATGTCATTCCCAAACTTTCTATGAATTTATGAAAACGTGAAAATGACCATATCTATGTCAGAAAATGTTTTAAAAAAAGGTGTCATATTCTTCCTGGGGGTGTATATGAACAGACTTTAATAAGATGTAATGTTGCTAAAATGCTGTCAGTTCCACTTTAAGAGACCACAGCCACACAGCGAGCTGGAAAATAATTGAATAAGACATCAATTGCAAAATGTAAATATAACAATACTTTTTTTCATACAAATTTACATGCAAAGAATAATGTCAAGACGTAAAAACAATGAAAGACTAAACACTATCATGTAATATCTCTGGTATAAAGTTAACACAGGTTAAATGCAATAGTGCACTATAATATTTAAGTTCCAAAACAAAAAATAAACATTTTACTCTACAATTGACAATTAGGTTGTTTATTTTGAACTGTCTCTGAACTTTCTGAACTCAATAAGGCTTTTGCAAATTGAAATACAATCAAAGCAAGTAGCGTGGGAAGACCATAAACCGTTAGAGGAAAATGGGAGTGAGGACTCAGATTACCCTTACACTCAGTGTTATAAACTACATGGAATTTATGGTGTGTCATGGACATGTGGAAATAATGTGGAAATGCTTGTATTAAAAAATAAATAAATCTTAAAGCCACAATCCGGAATTGGATTCAGCCCAAATGCCAGTGAGTTTGTTAGCCAATTGAAGCATTGGGGGCGGGTCTAAGACAAGCACAAACACGGTTCCCACTCACAGTGAAGGAGCAAGGTAGGGACATTGTATTTATTTATTTATTTATCATTCAATTATCCAGAATAGTCCCATTGAGATATACATCTCTGTTTTATGGGAGACCTAGCCAAGAAGTAAAGGCTAGCTAGTCTGTGTAATGGATTATAAAGTCTGTAAAGTAGATAAGGCCTGTTTTTCTGTACTAGCTAGCTAGATAGTGTTAGCCTCAGTGGCTATTTATGGTGTTCAAGGAACAGCTGTTGTTGCTCTTCCAAAAATAGCTGCTGTAGATATGGGCACTTAGTCCGGAGAGCGGCTTGCATGCATATCAATAAATCAGACCTGTGCCAGAAATGGTTGTATATCATAGTTTATTTGAAAATTACAGCTTCTGTCAATGAGTCCCAAATATTTTATGATAAATCAAAAACTATTGCCAAATACTTGTTTGTATTTCATATTATTTTTGGCATATTAATAGTTAGTCATTGCTCTTTGCTAAGAAGCTATTTTTGTTTTTGACCATTTTGATTGAAAACAATCACAGTAAGGTACTTAATTGTTACCGAGAAATTATTTGATATTGACATAAAAAAGGCTGCAATGGGCCATTAAAACTCCACTCATCCCAGATCTGCAATAAATGAATGCCAGTGTCTGGACAATACTAACATGCTGTCATACATGCAATGTGTTTTTTTCTGTCAGGAGCTGGCATGATGTCGTCAGACAGGGATAAAAGGGCTGTGTTCGGTAAAGGGATCGCGTTCGACCCCTGCCAGCTCCGAGACCCTTGGGAGAACAGAGCCCAGAAGATCAGTGAGAAGGGACAGCAGGAGAAGGAGGGGCAGGAAAATAGAGTCATGAATGGGTAAGATCACAAAACAAATATAGTACATGAACACACAGACTTTCAGAAAGACCTTCAGACAGACAGACAGGCAGACAGACAGATAACATGGGGGTTGTTGAGGTCTGCTCTGTTTCATGGACTGCCTCTCATTTTCTCCCCAAACTCAAGACTATTCTTGTTCATCTCCTCAATAATGTTATTGTGTTTTCTTTTTTCTAATTCGCTGTGGTTCTGTGTGTTCATCCATAGGCTTATTAAAGAGCAGCACACTGGACTGATGGCATTAAAGAAGAAAGGGAATGCCAGAAAGATGGTGTATTGCCCTATACTGAAACGGTTTAGGCTTGATCCTCCACTAGATGCAGCCCTGCACCCACCTCCACCCCCACCCCCTCCCAAGAAATCACCCAGACGGGTGAAGATAGAGATCCCCAAGCCAGTGGAGAAGAAGCCCACCCCACCTAAACCACCACCTCCTCCTCTGCCCAAAGTCATTCTCTCTTACAAAGACTTACAAAGACGATCTGAGGGAAAATGGTGGAGGGGTATTAGGGATAGAGAACTACCGAATGGTCCAAGTGAATGGTCAAAGCCTTTTAAGTGTCGTCCACTGCAGTTCAGTAGAATGCTTTATGACCAAACAATGTCCTGGCAGCGGGGATGGCCAACATTCAGCCGGGAACAAAGCAACAAACTACTGAAAGTAACACCTTTGGGTGAAAAAGTCAACCTTAAAGAGTGGAAGGATTCTTGGAAGATGTCCAGGCCTTTACCCCAGCAGCACACAGACAACCAGGGCATTACAGAAAGAGTAAAGGCTTTCAGAGAGTGGCAGAATCGCTTGTCAATCAGCAGAAATAGAACACCTACGGCAGTGGTGAAGAAAGGAAAGGACAGCGGCATGTCTGACTTCAGGTCTAAAGTGGCACCTCCACCAAAGATACATAAATCTGAGCCACCAACACCTGCGAAGAAATATGAACCACTCCTTCAGCTGAGGAAGGAGAGTTCTGAGGAAAATAAGCCCCCAGCCCCACAACCCAAGGAGAAGAAGCTGCTTGCCAGCAAACCGTCAACTCCTCAGGATGACACAGTAAATGTTCCACGGTGGAAGAAAGTTTGTAGGACGTCCGAGCCTTCACTCAAGCAGCACACAGAGAACCAGATGACTGCAGAAATTGTGAAGACAGGGACGGGCGATGAGCTGTCTGACTCCAGAAAGATCGTGATGAGTCTAGACAATGATGCTGACATTAATGCAGCACATTTGGAGCCCAGGTTTGGAGTCCAGGTTTGGAGTCCAGGTTTGGAGGCCAGATTTGGAGGCCAGGCCAAGGTGGTACCGCCACCCACGCCACCCACAAAGAAACGTGAACCACCCAAGAAATCGCAGCTCGATACCCTAAAAAAAACACTGGCTTCATCAGACATGCTTGATCTCGATGAATGGTCAGAAGCCTGGAGGACTCAACCACTGTTGTTGAACATTGACGAGCAAGCATGTCTGGAGGCTTGGGAGCAGGAATGGCCAGAGTTCATAAAGGAACAAAGTGATAAACGACTGAATGCTAAGCCTTTGGGTGACAATGTAAACCTTACAGAATGGGGGAATGCTTGGAAGACGCCCAAGCCTTTACCCAAGCAGCACACTGAGGACTTGACGATTACAGAGACAGTAAAGCCCAAATCCTTGACAGGTTGGAGAGAAGCAAGGAGGCTCTCTGGTGACAATGTTCAAAACAATCCTCCAAGTCTGAAGGATTGGCGTGACTCGTGGAGTTTCTGCCAAGAATATCGCTGGTGGAAGGTTTCTATGGACTCCCAGATGTCAAAACAACTTTTTTCCCATCTGAAGAAAAGGGGTGGAGGGCTTTTTTTGTTTTGTTTTTTGTTTTTCTTTGTTTGTTTTCTTGGACACAATACAGACTTGGGACAATAGGACTTAATTACCATGACAGCTTTGAAGCAAGAAGGACAATAACTCAAACATTACAAACAAATAAATGACACAACACATTTAGGTTAAGACATGAAAACAATGACAACCATGCATTGCTACCATTATAACCGAATTAATTTCAATCAACTTAAAGTAACTTTTTAAAGACCAAACTCAAAGAAAACCGTTTACAGTATGTGATGGGACATGTAAGTAAAGAAAAGTAAGGGAAGGGAAGGAAAGGGAGGCTGGTAAAAGGTAAGATGTTATGGCAAGGATTTCGTAAAGTTTATGTATGCAGATGGGATTAGGCTGGGGAGGATTGTGGGCTGGGGGCCCTTGGGTAATGTTTTTGCCAGCAGATCAACTTTTGCAAAGATGGTGGATAAATGAAGATGTCTTACTCAGGTCGTTTACCATTGAAAAAAATGGTCACAGTTCCGGTCTACTTAAGGAATGGCTCTCGGGTCTGGTCTAATTAGTTAATTGACTGTACTGTATATGAACCAGAAAAAATTAAGGAGTGGGATGTCTCGCTTCCTCTTCCGTCTCTGACTGTAGGAGGTTCCTACTCCCATCAGGACCCAAACTGACGGTCCGAAGAGCTGCGCTAGTTGACTTCCAGAAACCCGAAGAAGCTTCCTTTTCAGATATGTAGTGTTTGATATTAGAAAATGTGGGACACATTTTATTTTTAAGTGGGCAAGGATGTGACAGGGTGGAGCTGCTATTGTTGAGTTAATTAACATAGTGATGTTACATGTGAATGCCTCCTATTGGTCTGTTTGAACTGATTCTTTGTGTTTTGTCTTAATTGATTGCAGGTGTGACTGCGGAGCATGCATCTCCTCCTGTTATCTTAAAATGGCTGCATTTCCTGCCAACCAGGAAGAGGAAAAAAGAGCCGCTGCTACCTCCAAGTCCTCAGATTAGCTCTAGCCTATGGACTGAACTCCCAATCACAGTTGACAATAATTATATCTAGTCTCTGTGTTAATTGTGAAATTCTGAGTACATCTTGTCTGATCAGTGTCTGTGAGGACTTGGAGACAGTCAGCAAAGGTAATTCTTGTATTTTTTTGTGTGTTTGTGGGCTTGGCTATTCAATGCATGTAGCACTTTAAAGTCTTTCAAACATTTTTGAGAGTGATCCCTATAAGTATTGAATGCAATTTTTGTTACACTTAATACAGTTTGCTGTGCGTGCACTATAGATGGGTTAGCTGATAACGTCACAAACGATTTGCACGTTTCAATGGTGAGTTGTTGTGATTCTGGATGGCCAGATAGCTTCCAACATTGACAAGAAACCGCCTGTGGGGAATCGTAAGTGACTCGTTTTAGCTAGTTTCATCTTGTTCTTGATATGTGTCTTGTTGAGGTGTTTTGACAGATTTCATGTCAATGCTAATATGGCTAATATTTGCTAGCTAGCTAACCAACAACTGTAGCAATGTATTTGAGAGACAAGTGCTCATTGTGAAAATTAATGTTTTCAATAAACGTTGGAGAATAAATATAGTTTACATGTTGTCAACAATCTAAGCCAACCGTCTGTTTTGCCCCATAGCTGTGCACGTGTTGGTTGCTAAACAACCAACCTGTCTATAATTGCTGTGCTTTGAGATACTTTTACTAGCATTAATTGAATATTGCATTTAAACAGAAGTCTTACATGAATGCCCTGTTGTACTAGACACACAACTGTAACAAACCGTGAAATAACTAAATATTGCTTGTAATAACATTAAAGAGGGGCTGAACTTGCCGATTCCATCTGGGATTTTTCATTACTCATTAAGAAAAACAAGATTTGTTTGGAGATGTGGTTCGATGTGGGTGTGTTATGTTCGCTATATCGTATCCTGGCAGCAATGTTTGTCCCTCTTCAGTCACTGTCCCAAACAGGCCACCGTACTGAATGGCTTATCAACCGCGTGACGCAGCATGTCAACGCAATTGGTCAGGGAATCCTGCTTCGAGTGCACTGGATTTCTAGATGTAGCTATCTTTGATGAAAAATTGTGTTTGTGATGCTAAAGTTAGCTCACGAATGTGAGGATGTTTGAAACGCCCATGCAGTCAAAAAAAACTAAACTCTTGTTCTTTCAAAATAATGTTTGCGACAATATCTTGTATATATTGTTGTCTAAACAAGTCCAAGGCGCTGTGTGCTAATGGTTAGTTCGGCTGTCTGTAAATAAATGGGTGGGTTGTAAGTTGATTCTGGTTAGCGATTGGATAGCGTTCACTGCAACACACAGGGCAGCTGTTATACGGATGATTTGATGCTAGACTGTGTCAGGCAGTGAGCCAATGGGGGCAGGATTGAAATCAAAACCCAACCCTCATGTAAGTTGTGACATCCTCAGTTACACAATTCTCACAACTCTGTTTTGGAATATACTGACTTCATCCTACTTACACATTTTGTACATTTTGGTACTGGAATACATTTTTCGGACTAAAATCGATGCCACAGGTCGTTTTCTACCAGAGAAGTTGGTTATTGCATTCAGTTGCACTTTAAATATTAGTTAATAATAAAATATATTTTGTGATACTACTGTACTAATTTCAAGGATTTTTTTCACTCTGCTCTATTCAAAAAACTAAACAAACTGTTTGCCTGAGTATCTGAGGACCTTCCCTCTATAAAAAAAGGTAGCATGATCACAAGTGTTTAATGTTGTGTAGTCAGCAGGAGCAGCTATCTATATGTAGCATTTAAATCCCCCATGTTACATAATCATACATATATTCTATTTAGGATTTTCTCAATTTTGTTGTTCCATATAATTGGAATATTTTGTGTTCATAACATTAGAAAAAATATGGCAGCGGTTAGAGACTTTAGACAAGACAACTTATGCATTTATCTATGACTTTTCTGAAATTGAAAAATGTATGCCTTGTTTGAAAAATATGGCAAATTTGGCCTCAGTTTTTTGACGAGATTGTACATGTTCACTAGGATATGAATTCCAAGAATGTCTACTGGGCTACTTGTCCCATGAACGGCACACCACATGGACTCAAAGTTAGTGTTTTTTAGGGAACCCAGTGTACAGTTGAAGTCGGAAGTTTACATACACTTAGGTTGGAGTCATTAAAACTCGTTTTTCAACCACTCCACAAATTTCTTGTTAACAAACTATAGTTTCGGCAAGTCGGTTAGGACATCTATGTGCATGACACAAGTAATTTTTCCAACAATTGTTTACAGACACATTTTTTCACTTATAATTCACTGTATCACAATTCCAGTGGGTTAGAAGTTTACATACAGTAAATTGACTGTGCCTTTAAACAGCTTGTAAAATTCCAGAAAATTATGTCATGGCTTTAGAAGCTTCTGATAGGCTAATTGACATAATTTGAGTCAATTGGATGTGTACCTGTGGATGTATTTCAAGGCCTACCTTCAAACTCAGTGCCTCTTTGCTTGACATTATGGGGAAATCAGCCAAGACCTCAGAAAAATAATTGTAGACCTCCACAAGTCTGGTTCATCCTTGGGAGCAATTTCCAAACGCCCGAAGGTACCACGTTCATCTGTGCAAACAATAGTATGCAAGTATAAACACCATGGGACCACGCAGCCGTCATACCGCTCAGGAAGGAGACGCATTCTGTCTCCTAGAGATGAATGTACTTTGGTGTGAAAAGTGCAAATCAATCCCAAGGCTGCTCAGCAAAGGAAGAAGCCACTGCTCCAAAACCGCCATAAAAAAGCCAGACTACGGTTTACAACTGCACATGGGGACAAAGATCGTACTTTTTTGAGAAATGTCCTCTGGTCTGATGAAACAAAAATAGAACTGTTTGGCCATAATGACCATCATTATGTTTGGAGGAAAAAGGGGTAGGCTTGCAAGCTGAAGAACACCATCCCAACCGTGAAGCACAGGGGTGGCAGCATCATGCTGTGCGGGTGCTTTGCTGCAGGAGGGACTGGTGCACTTCACAAAATAGATGGCATCATGAGGAAGGAAAATTATGTGGATATATTGAAGCAACATCTCAAGACATCAGTCAGGAAGTCAAAGCTTGTTCGCAAATGGGTCTTCCAAATGGACAATGACCCCAAGCATACTTCCAAAGTTGTGACAAAATGGCTTAAGGACAACAAAGTCAAGGTATTGGAGTGGCCATCACAAAGCCCTGAACTCAATCCTATAGAAAATGTGTGGGCAGAACTGAAAAAGCGTGTGCGAGCAAGGAGGCCTACAAACCTGACTCAGTTACACCAGCTCTGTCAGGAGGAATGGGCAAAAATTCACCCAACTTATTGTGGGAAGCTTGTGGAAGGCTACCTGACACGTTTGACCCAAGTTAAACAATTTAAAGGCAATGCTACCAAATACTAATTGAGTGTATGTATACTTCTGACCCACTGGTAATGTGATGAAATAAATCAAAGCTGAAATAAATCACTCTCTACTATTATTCTGACATTTCACATTCTTAAAATAAAGTGGTGATCTTAACTGACCTAAAACAGGGAATTTTTACTAGGATTAAATGTCAGGAATTGTGAAAAACTGAGTTTAAATGTATTTGGCTAAGGTGTATGTAAACCTCCGACTTCAACTGTAAGTAGTGAGCACTTGTGATAGTGAGGGCATAACAAAACCATCCAATCCTGTAAAAATAGATCAGAGTCACTGTGGTTTAAATAGACCATAGAGCCATCCAGACCTGACACAGAGACATAGACACCATTTTTATCCAAGTGACGAGAGACATTGATTTTACAATTTATAACATATAGTGGATTACAGAATGAGTTTACTCTACAAATATCAGTATCATGGTTGTTTAAGGCCTCTGAACTCAATAATGCTTTTGCAAATTGAAATACAATACCAGTTTGTAGCATGGGAAGAACTAAGCACATTAGGGAAAACAAAGTAATGGAGGTGAGGAAAAGTCAGATTGAGGTTATTATTTAAACAAATTCAATTTAACTTCTCCAGAATTTTGAAATATCCTTTTTCTTCCACATCGTAAACTACTTAGAACTACAAACACATGGCATGGCCATATGATGATGATACTTACCCTTTCTCCTCATATTTCAGTGGAACTGTTTGTCTTTGTAATGAATCTACAGTATAAACCACAACCTGGGATTGTATTCATCCCACAATTGAAGCTTCTTCAGTTTCTCAGCCAATTATAGCACTGGGGGTGAGTCAGTTTGGCACGTCACACAGACAAGAAACCGTACGCTGCAGACAGTAAAGGAGCAAGGGAGGAAGATTTTATATATCTTTCCTTATCCAGACGAGTGACATTGGGAAAGGAATCCATTTTTTCACGGGTGCCCTGGCCAAGAAGTAAGAACTAGCTAGTCTGTGTTATAGATCATAAAGTTAGTGAGATTTTTGTGTTATTCTAACTAGCTAGCTTGTGTTAGCCTTAGTGGCTGTTTATGGTGTCCATGGAACAGCTGTTGCTCTACCAAAAATAGCTGCAGCTTTTAAATGGTTATTTTTATTCCTGTATTATTGTTTGCTCCGGGAAGACAAATGCCTTATTTTTATTTAATTTATTTTGCCAAATATTAGCTCTTGAACTCTTATACTCTTGAACTTATGCAAGCCTTAAAATTCATGTAATTCATTCATACCAGTGTCTCTGGGCAACATTAACGTGGTGTCATACACGCTATGTGTTTTCCTGTCAGGAGGTGGCATGATGTCGTCAGACAGGGATAAAGGGACAGAGTACGACAGCTTCCAGCTCAGGAACCAATGGGAGAACAGAGCTAAGCAGTTCAGTCAGAAGGGACAACAGGAGAAGGAGAGACAAGGAAAGAGTGCCTTGAATGGGTAAGACTGAACATACAAGGACTCACATGAACCACGAATAATCTTCCAAAAAGTGAACTATCACTTCAAAGTACATAAACTATATCCATGGTTTGGATTCAAATGCATATTTTGTAAGACTGTGTGGCTTCATATCATTATCCATTCAATATTTCTTAAAGCATGTCAATCTTTGAATACCCAGGGACCTATAGGAACAGCTTTATCAGTCATAACACCTTGATAATGCATGTGCAATTAAGCAATAAGGCCTGAGGGGTGTGGCCAATATACCACGGCTAAGGGCTGTTCTTAAGCACCATGCAACGAGGGGTGCCTGGATACAGGCATTAGCCGTGGTATATTGGCCATATACCACAAACGCCCGAGGTGCCTTATTGCTATTATAAACTGGTTACCAACGTAATTAGAGCAGTATAAATAAATGTTTTGTCATACCCGTGGTCTGATATACCACGGCTGTCAACCAATCAGCATTCAGGGCTCTAACCAACCAGTTTATAATATACAATACACTACAAGTGCAATGCATTATAATAACATTTCATGCTGGCCTTTGTTAAAAAAAACTAATTTAATTGCTGTTAGAAAGTGACTATTGAATAACAACCTACAGTATAAGGGCAGTTTAATATTATTGTGATATATATATATATATATATATTTTTTTTTTTTACTCTGCTATGGTGCTGTCTTCCACAGGCTTTACAAAAAGTGGCAGTCTCGCTTGGCGAACGAAAATGGAACCGCTACAGCAGCGAAGAAGAAAGGAAAGGGCAGCGACATGTCTGACTTCAGAAAGATTGCGGTGATCCCAGACACTGATGCTGACATCAATGGAGCCAGGTTTAAGGTGGTACCACCACCAAAGATACCCAAACTTGCTCCGCCCCCACCACCGCCACCCAAAAAGAAACCACCCAAGAGGGCAAAGCCCCAAGTTCCCAAACCAGCCAGGGGTTGGGATGAGTCATGGAAGAGCCTGAAGCCACCAGAGCAGGAAGTCCAACCTGATGAAAAATGGTGGAGGGATTTTAAGCCAGATAGATACCTACCTCTCAGCGAATGGGCAAGGCCCTTAAAGTGTCGACCACTGTTGTTCAGTTTCATCCTTCACCAGCAAACAGAGTGGTGGCAACGAGGATGGCCAGCGTTAAACCGGGAACAAAGCAACAAACTAATGAAAGCTAAGCCTTTGGATGTTGAAGTAAACCTTCCAGGGTGGGAGGACTCTTGGAAGAAATCAAAATCTTTACCCAAGCAACACACTGAAAACCAGATGATTACAGAAACAATACAGGACAAAGCCTTCTTGCCAGGTTGGACAGAATCTTGGAAGGTCGCAGGTGAAAATGTCCAAAACAGTGGCCGTTGTCTGAGGGATTGGCATGAGTCCTGGAGTTTGTGCCAAGAACACCACTGGTGCAAGGCCCCTATAGGCTCCCAGTTAATGTCAAAACATGTGTTGTCCGATGAGTTGTTGATCTCCCAGCTTGATGAGGAGATCCCATCTTCATCAGATTGGATAGAGTCCTGGAAATCTGTGAAATCTCATCCCCAGTCCCAGGAGTCCCAGTCAGAGGCCAAAGATACTGAATCAGAGGTAGAAATGTCCCATGTGCCACTGCATCTCCAGTTCCACAAGCTTAACACACCTTTCTCAAACTGGCACGAGTCTTGGAAAATGTCAACTGCAAATAACGAAGCAATTGAAGGTGGATGGAAAGGTTCCTGGAAGATATGTAGTCAGAATCAAAATCAAAATGACACAAAAGCCCAAAGAGATGTTGTGTTTTTATCAAATATGTATAAGACCCAAAGGTTCCGGGGTGTTGACAGCATGCCTCAGAGTGAATGGTCTAAATCCTGGAAGACCCCCAAGCCTCCCCAACATACTTTCTTGCCAGGTTGGAAAGAATCTTGGAAACAAAACAGCAATCCATATTGGAAGGATTGGCGTGAGTCCTGGAGTTTGTGCCAAGAACACCACTGGTGCAAGTCCTCTATGGACTCCCAGTATTGCCATCATGCTATGATGATGTCAAAACGCATGCTGTCCAATGAGCTGTTGAGCTCCAAGCTTGATGAGGAGATCCCATCTTCATTCGAGTGGATAGAGTCCTGGAAATCTGTGAAACCTCAGTCTCAGTCCCAGTCAGATTCAGAAGAAACTGAATCAGTGACTGAATCAGAGGTAGAAATGTCCCATGTGCCACTGCATCTCCAGTTCCACAAGCTTAACACACCTTTCTCAAACTGGCAGGAGTCTTGGAAAGTGTCAACTGCGCAAGCTGTAGCAGGTGAAGATGAACAACAACATCCTTCAACAGAATGGACTGATTCCTGGAAGATATCTTGGCCGAATCTAAATAAAAATGACTCAAAACCCCAAAGGGATGTTACGTTTTTCTCAAGGCATAAGACCGAAAGGTTCTTGAGTGTTGACTGTATGGTCCAGAATGAATGGTCTGAATGCTGGAAGACCATCAAGCCTACCCAATACACTGAGACACGGGAGGAGGAGGAGGAGGAGGAGGAAGATAGCTATTCTGATTCCTCTAAACACTTGTCACATCTAATAGAGATTCCTTTAAATGATTGGGCAGAATCATGGAGGTTCAAGCCATTGGAAGAGAGCCCTACCCCACCCAAGAGGGCACAGCCCCTAACCCCGAAACCAGAGGAGGAGATGCTGCAATCCAGCACACCATCACCTCCTCAGCCTTACAAAGACAATCTTAACCTGGCAAGCTGGGGTGATTCCTGGAAGAGCCTGAAGCCCCCACAGAAGGAAGTCCCATCTGAGAAAAAATGGTGGAGGGCGTTTAAGCAGGACAGAAACCTACCTTTCAACGAATGGGCAAAGCCCTTCAAGTGTCGACCACTGCTATTCAGTCGCTTACTACACACACAAACAACATCCTGGCAGCAGGGATGGCCAGCGTTCAGCCAGGAACAAAGCAACAAACTACTGAATGCTAAGCCTTTGGATGACGAAGTAAACCTTCCGGAGTGGGAGGATGCTTGGAAGACACTCAAGCCTTTACCCAAGCAGCAAACTGAGAAACATATGATTACAGAAACAATACAGCACAAAGCCTTCTTGCCAGGTTGGACAGAATCTTGGAAAGTCGCAGGTGAAAATGTCCAAAACAACAATCCATATCTGAAGGATTGGCGTGAGTCCTGGAGTTTCTGTCATGACCATCACTCATACAGGGCCTCTATAGACTCCCAGAATCGGCAGTATCTCCCAGTATCACTAAAACACAAGCTGTCCAATGAGCTGTTGATCTCCCAGCTTGATGAAAACATTAAATCCTCACCAGAAAGGATAGAGTCCTGGAAATCGTTACAAAATCTACCTCAGCCCCAGTCAGAGCCCGAAGAAACTGAATCAGAGATAGATATGCCCAACGTGCCAATGCATCTCCAGTTCCTCAAGATTAACACACCTTTCTCAAACTGGCGCCAGTCATGGAAAGTGTCAACTGCAGAAAGTGAAGGTGAAAAACAACAGAGAGAATGGAATGGTTCTTGGAAGATATCTTGTCCGAATCGGTCAAAAAACAACACAAAAGCCCTAAATGATGTGTTTTTGTCCAATAAGCATAAGACTTACAAGTGCCTGGGTGTCGAGCATGCTGAAGACAGCATGTCTCAGAATGAATGGTTTGAATCTTGGAAGACACAGCAGCACCAGCAGCAGGTGGTGGACTGGGCAGAGTCTTGGAGGTTATCTGTCGTCCCAGAATCCAACAACTCAGTATCACTGGACCGATGGAAACAATCATGGAGACTCTCAAACCCAAATCACCCACATCAGCTTAACCAGGACACAGAGCCTCTCATACACATCGGCCCCAAACATCACAGGCAACTCCACGAGGTTGAACTGCCCCATGCAGAATGGAGCAACTCCTGGAAGTACCTCAAGTCAGACACTCTAGCTCCTAACACGAAGAAGAAAACAGACATACAGTAGAAAATTATATCATGTACATCAAATGTTCAGAAAACCCTATACTATTTTAGTTTAATGTCAAAATACATATTTGTTAAATGTCTTATTACTGGACATTGGAGTGTGACGAGCAGAATTCTCTGCTGCAGGGAGGAAGTTGGGGTGGATGAAGTGTATAACACGTGGTTTGCATAGCTGTTGGAAACTTTAAACCTAACCTAATCTTAACCTAATCTAATTATTTATATTCTATTGACTGGAATGTTGTTGCTTTTCTACTGCTGTTTTTGCTACTTATATTGTTGCTGGTTGTCTTTGTGACTAAATTAATGCTTGATTGACAAACACTTTATCCATCTGGGATTAATCAAGTATGAATATTAGACTATATTTAATTATCATATTAATTGCTACAGTAACGTCAATGTTGAAGATTTCTCTCAAATTGCCAGAGCGATCACCAGGGATATACCGGGATCTGAATTCAGGCGTTTCTAACACAAAAAGCGAAATTATCAACATTCTGTCCAAAAAACAACCATTTAGACAGGCCCACTGGGCTAAAGATGGACCAGCTCATCTGGCATTTGGGCAAACTTTTGGTGTTCACCTTTTGACATTTTTCTGCTCCGGGCTATTATTACGCAACACATCTTCATGTAAAATGAGAAAACATTGAACATGTGTCATATGTAGTTACATGGGAATACGGGCCATAATGACAAAACCAATAATCTGCAATGCATAAATAGACCACAGAGACAACCCAGGGGTATAATAAATTGAATACTGAATAGTCAGTCCTTAACGTCCACAGGAGGGTAATATCAAACATGTCAAGATTACCCAAATCATATCAAACGAAATCAAACCATCAATACAGATCAACTTTAGAGTGCCTTGGAGACTAGACTCTGTGCCATGGTTCTTAACCTTACCTTGATGGGCTGGAGTTCAACAATTTTATTCTACAAATGTCAATGTTGTATTATGGTTGTTTAATTTGCCTCTGAACACAATATGGCTTTTGCAAATTGAAATATTGTCACGCCTGCTCCCGCTCCCCCTCCCTGGCGCTCAAGGGCACCAGGCTGCCCATCATTACGCACACCTGTCACCATCGTTACGCACACCTGTCACCATCGTTACGCGCACCAGCGCTTCATTGGTCTCACCTGGACTTCATCCCGTCATTGGTTACCTCCCCTATATCTGTCACTTGCTCAGTTTCATTCCCGTGTCATCATTGATGTTGTTTTGTTTCTCTCGTCCAGACGCTGTTCTTGCTTTGTTTCATGTCGATGTATTATTAAATCCTCACTCTGTACTTGTTTCTTGTCTCCCAGCGTCTGTCCTTACAAATATAATCAAACGTTTGAAGCATGGGACGAGCTAAGCCCATTAGGGGGAAATGGGGGTTATGAAAAATCTGATTGAGGTCTACTAACAAATTAAATGTCACTCCTAAATTATAAAATGCTCTTGTGCTCAGTGTTGTAATTGTGTCAGTCTCTACAGAAAAAATAGGACTTGTGGCTTCATTGTATTAGCATAGTTTTATTTGGGTTACACTTTGCTCTAAACTGGATGCTGGCAGGTAGGCAATACAATATTTATACAGTCAGCTTCTGAAACTTTATAAAGTATTATGTAATACCTCATGGGTAAATCTGCATCTTTGTTTTTAAAGGGATTTCAAGTGCTACGCCTGTCAACCATGCAAGAAGCCTAAAAGCAGAGCGTGTCAGTTTGAACGGTAGTCTTAAAATCTTAACCATTTCCACTTTTTCATTTCATACCAAAACCTTTTAAATAAGACCAGGTAATATAAAATTGGCAGCAATATGACTTTGAAAATTAAAAAGATGTGCTCTTGAACATTAAACTAACTGTAATGGAATTCATATGCAGGAGGATTGTGGGGTGGAAATAGGTTAAGTACATCTGGAAGAGTGAGGGAGGAAGAAGGCCACGAAGGGGACCTAGATAAAGCGTACAATATTCAGAGCCACCACTGTCACTTTGCATGTCTCACTGCAGTGTTCCCATAATGCACTTAGGGATTATGGAGGCTCACTTGAAGAGACGCCACATTTGATTTCATATGCATACAGTAAAATGCACAGAACAGCGAGCAGAGCAGAGCAGGGCATCAAAAAGAAGAGACTGCTGATGGCTGCATAAAGCCATGAAAGAGGCTGGAGCTAAAGTTCAAGGGAGAAAAACTGGGAAATCATCCTGTGAAGGCCATATCCTGTGTTGCAGATGCTTGGAGGCATGCGACACAATGTGAGACAAATGTAAATCTCAATTTGACGTACAGTGTTCTATTGTATATTGCTTTGATTTTTTGTTGAGGTTTTGAGGGAATTGGGAAGTAGGCTTTAAGATTAACTTGAGAGTTGTCTTTGGTATAGTTTGAGGACAGCAAATAGTAAAACCTAGAGTATGGGCTAAGAGATGATACACATGATAATGATGCTGATGAAAAATATTATTATGATAATGACAACAACGATGAAAATGGTGATGATGTCAATGACGTCACTAACAGCAAAAACATTCATAAGTCATGTAGCCTGCATTTAGAGAATGATCCTATGGGAGTGTAAGATGTGCTAAGTTGCAATAATTATCACTTAGCAAGGGGTGTGAACCTTCAGCAGCCCTGCATGCCCCAATTTTCACCTGAGACTAATGGCCTGTTTAGACCAGTCGTGTGCAAGCTGGCTGAGAGAGAGCGAGACGAGAGAGAGAGCGTGATCGAGAGAGAGCGTGATCGAGAGAGAGAGAGAGCGTGATAGAGAGAGATGAGAGACGAGAGACGAGAGAGAGAGAGAGATAGAGAGGATAAATTAAGCCTTACTCCACTCTCTCTGTTTCTCACCTCTAGAGTAACATTAGCAGTCTCTGACACAGCAGCAGAGTGAAGAAGTTACAAGACTGCTGCCTGCCAGCTAACACGCACATTCACTTTTTAGGATCTAGCTGCCACTTTTCAAATGGTAGCCTATATTTTGACCAGGGCCCATAGGGCTCTGGTTAAAAGTAGTGCACTACAGTGGGGAAAAGAAAGTATTTAGTCAGCCACCAATTGTGCAAGTTCTCCCACTTAAAAAGATGAGAGTGGCCTGTAATTTTCATCATAGGTACACGTCAACTATGACAGACAAATTGAGAAGAAAAAAATCCAGACAATCACATTGTAGGATTTTTAATGAATTTATTTGCAAATTATGGTGGAAAATAAGTATTTGGTTACCTACAAACAAGCAAGATTTCTGGCTCTCACAGACCTGTAACTTCTTCTTTAAGAGGCTCCTCTGTCCTCCACTCATTACCTGTATTAATGGCACCTGTTTGAACTTGTTATCAGTATAAAAGACACCTGTCCACAACCTCAAACAGTCACACTCCAAACTCCACTATGGCCAAGACCAAAGAGCTGTCAAAGGACACCAGAAACAAAATTGTAGACCTGCACCAGGCTGGGAAGACTGAATCTGCAATAGGTAAGCAGCTTGGTTTGAAGAAATCAACTGTGGGAGCAATTATTAGGAAATGGAAGACATACAAGACCACTGATAATCTCCCTCGATCTGGGGCTCCACGCAAGATCTCACCCGTGGGGTCAAAATGATCACATGAACGGTGAGCAAAAATCCCAGAACCACACGGGGGGACCTAGTGAATGACCTGCAGAGAGCTGGGACCAAAGTAACAAAACCTACCATCAGTAACACACTACGCCGCCAGGGACTCAAATCCTGCAGTGCCAGACGTGTCCCCCTGCTTAAGCCAGTACATGTCCAGGCCCGTCTGAAGTTTGCTAGAGTGCATTTGGATGATCCAGAAGAGGATTGGGAGAATGTCAAATGGTCAGATGAAACCAAAATAGAACTTTTTGGTAAAAACTCAACTCGTCGTGTTTGGAGGACAAAGAATGCTGAGTTGCATCCAAAGAACCCCATACCTACTGTGAAGCATGGGGGTGGAAACATCATGCTTTGGGGCTGTTTTTCTGTAAAGGGACCAGGACGACTGATCCGTGTAAAGGAAAGAATGAATGGGGCCATGTATTGTGAGATTTTGAGTGAAAACCTCCTTCCATCAGCAAGGGCATTGAAGATGAAACGTGGCTTGGTCTTTCAGCATGACAATGATCCCAAACACACCGCCCGGGCAACGAAGTAGTGGCTTCGTAAGAAGCATTTCAAGGTCCTGGAGTGGCCTAGCCAGTCTCCAGATCTCAACCCCATAGAAAATCTTTGGAGGGAGTTGAAAGTCTGTGTTGCCCAGCGACAGCCCCAAAACATCACTGCTCTAGAGGAGATCTGCATGGAGGAATGGGCCAAAATAACAGTGTGTGAAAACCTTGTGAAGACTTACAGAAAACGTTTGACTTGTGTCATTGCCAACAAAGGGTATATAACAAAGTATTAAGAAACTTTTGTTATTGACCAAATACTTATTTTCCACCATAATTTGCAAATAAATTCATTAAAAATCCCACAATTGGTGGCTGACTAAATACTTTATTTCCCCACTGTAACTGGATCCACCGATATGGGACATGGACTCTTCTCAACACCCGACCTCAACATCAGACCATATACAGTGGGGAAAAAAAGATTTTTAATGAATTTATTTGCAAATTATGGTGGAAAATAAGTATTTGGTCACCTACAAACAAGCAAGATTTCTGGCTCTCACAGACCTGTAACTTCTTCTTTAAGAGGCTCCTCTGTCCTCCACTCATTACCTGTATTAATGGCACCTGTTTGAACTTGTTATCAGTATAAAAGACACCTGTCCACAACCTCAAACAGTCACACTCCAAACTCCACTATGGCCAAGACCAAAGAGCTGTCAAAGGACACCAGAAACAAAATTGTAGACCTGCACCAGGCTGGGAAGACTGAATCTGCAATAGGTAAGCAGCTTGGTTTGAAGAAATCAACTGTGGGAGCAATTATTAGGAAATGGAAGACATACAAGACCACTGATAATCTCCCTCGATC